TTCTATCCTTTTCACCATAATAGCCATATCATCAGCGTATCTGATATTGATTATGACCTCCCTTCTATTCTTACACCTTCTCCTGAAAGAAAGTAATATTTTTATTTAAAAGTATTTATCATTATTACTCTTTCATGAATACAAAAAATATGTAGGTATATTATAGTTACACTTAATAAAAAATATGATATATTGAACAACATTACGTTCATGTAATTGGATGTATACCATATATTAAAAAAAAATTATTAAAAAACCTTTATAAAAGGTATATATCTAAAAACCCCAACGGACTAATTAGACAAAACGTTTTCGGAATCCATATTCCATCATCAGTGTCTAGGAGTACATGAATGTAGCCACTAAATATAACGGGGTTTTTACCCATATATTTAGTGACTACATTCATGTGCTCCTAGACACTGATGATGGAATATGGATTCCGAAAACGTTTTGTCTAATTAGCCTGTTGGGGTTTTTAAATATATACCTTTTATAAAGGTTTTTTAATAAAAAAATTTTATAACTCAAATAGACAAAACGAATGGCCGTAGGTTAAATTCATGTTGCACCAACACCAATAACGATTGGTGGACATACTATCGATACATATTAATAATAATGTTAATGTTTAAATTTCAACGGTATGACTGCTAAATATTTATGGACTTTTTGTTGGGTATCTGAGTTGTTGGGTACCAATATCGTCTACTATTGTATGTTTTACTTTCATAATTTCTCTTATTCTGTTGTTCGTTACTCTTTCTAGTCAAGATTTTCCAGCTGAACGTCTCCAACAATCCATTTCCGTTGCCTCAAGTTTTCTCTTGTATCTTTCCTTTATTTGCCATACTTCACTACTGTAGGTAATTATATTTTTAATGATTGTATTATATATCGTGTGCTTGTTATTATTAGAGATTTATTGATCCCAGAGGATACTATTCAGAAAGGAAATTGCTTTTCTTGCTTGGTTGTTTTTCTCCTCAATTGTGTCGTCTACGTTGCATTCTTTTGTGGTGATCATACCTAAATATTTATATGTGTTACAATGTTTGATAACTTCTCCATCTTCCAATATGAGTTCCTGTTGTTTCCCGCAGATACACATATACTCGGTTTTTTGGATATTGATTTTAGGTCCCCATTTTTTATACTCCTCGATTATCTATCTTGTGCTATCACTAGTTGATCATCTGCAAATGACAAAGTGTATATGCTATTGTTGTTAATAGACATTCCCATCTTTCTACATTTGCGCTTCCACAGTTTTAGATCCTGATCTAGATAAATTTTAAATAATGTCGGGGAGAGACAACAGCCCTGCTTAAGGCCTTTATTCATTTGGAATCCACTTGACAGATTATTTCCAACCTTTACCTTTGAGTTAGCATTAGCGTACAGTTCCTTCGTCGCATTTATTAAATTCATGCTTATGTTTGTTTTCTCTAACGCTTACCATAATTTATAATGTGGTACGTTATCATAAGCTTTTCGTAGGTTTACATAGAATAAATGTACTTCTCGATTAACGGCTATTTTCTTTTTAATAATCTGTGTAATGCAAAACAAATGGTTAGCAGTAGATCTACCTGCCGTAAATCCTGCCTGTTCCTCGGCCTCTAAGTCCTTATATTCGCTTTCTATCCTGTTTTTAATTACTTTTCCGTATATTCTACTTGCCTCTGTAATTGTCACATTCATCCCTTCTGCCCTTTTTGTGTATAGGGGATATGAATGATGTCTTACACTCCTCTCACTCCACTTAATGCAGTTTTGGAACAATTTGGCTAAACTTGTATTTAGTTTGGTTGTACCGTGTTTCATTAACTCTGCAGGGATGTTACCTGGACCCGGTGCTTTGTTATTATTTAGAGATCCACATACATCTTTAACTTTTTTTCGTTGTTATTCGTATGGGCGAAGTTAAAATATTTATATTTTGTGTTTCGTTGCTGTCGTTAAATTGTGATCTATCTTCCCTTAGGAGTTTCTCAAAATATTGGTCCCAGTCATCCATTGTTGGTTAGTCATCCTAAAGAGTTTGATATAAAGTCCTAAACGCAGGTGTTAATTTACTGAGGTATCATTAAACTGTGTTGGTTTCACGGATGGAAGGAAATGTTTTCCAGTACACCCGGATCTTCATCCGTTCTGAAATAGTTTCCCTTGTAACAGAAAAGTTTATTAGAAGTTTCGACGAAATATCAATGTTATTTTCGATATGCTATATTTCAGTTTTCTGTTAAAACTAAATATTTTCGTCATTTATATCATAATTATTAACTAATTACTAATAATGGTCGTGTCTAAATTATATTATATATATATATATATATATATATATATATATATATATATATATATATATATAATTTTATATGTTCTCTCGATCGAAGAACGTGTACGTATGGTGTACATGATGGGTCTTTACCTTGTTTAGGTTTTTGGGATGTGATATTTTCTTGCTTATTTCGAGGTTAGGGTTTTAAATGGCGATTTCTTTGTGTGTAGATTTAGGGCGTCATCTCTATTATTTTGGCTTCGTGGTTCTTTTATATGTATGGCTTCTCTTATTGTTCTCGTTTTATAGTGTGGGATTCCTGCAATATGATTGCAATAGCTAAGATCTATTTTGTATCCCGTGGTTTTAGTATGTATTCTTCTATCCTGGCCGAGATTCGTCGATTGATTTTTAACATATGTTTTCATCTCCAGGTTCCAAAATTCAAGGAATTTCCAATTGAACGATACGCTTTGCATTCATTAGTGTGGATGGATCCTATTGTTTGTAGTGATTTATATAACGTTGTTACATTGTGTTTAATTTATTACTGCTTCCCTTTGTGGAGGGTAAAAAGGCTTTTGATTTAATTTCTACATGGTCTTTTTATTGTCATTGTTATTCTGGTTTTCCTATGGTATTTTTTTGTAGCAATTTTGCCTGAGGGCGTGCTTTATTTTGATAGTTTTCATGTTTTTACTGGAGTCATAAATTAGTCGGATGGATCTTGTAATAACGCGGTTTGACAACCTCTTTTATTTTTTATGAGTGATTATGTTTGAGAACATTTAGTATCTGTCTGTGTGTATTTGTTTGCAGTTAAAGGTATCTTCTCAAGGGCCGTCTTTGCGTTTGGAGATTATGACGTCTAGAAAAGTTCCAACGTGAACTGGACTTTTTTGTGGATAGGGTTTAAGTGTTAGCCATATTTTTAGATTTAGCCTCGCTTTCTGTAGAATTTACTTCTCAAAGTAGGTCATGTAGAGGTTTGGAACAGCCGAAAAATAGCTGCACAGTATTTTTGCTTGTAAATTTATCCATTTTAAATACAATCGCCGTTTTCGAAAAAATAAACATAATATTATTTAACTGTTTCCACTAGAGAATTGAATTATTTTGAGTTAAAAAGGCGCACCCATGGATTTCGGAGAATTGATACCTTTCTTAAAACTATGCTAATTTATTTTCATTACCTTTTTAGACATAAAGATGAAGTATAAATTGGTTAAAGTGTTAAAGTGTGGATAGAATATGTTAATATTATTATTTGTATTGGTATCGTGTGAACAAATCACTTCAATTTTATATGCTAATCTAAAATTTTTAGGGAGTGTATTTAGTTCATTATTTTATGCCATCGAGACACATATCCACCCCGATATTCGTTTGCTTCGTGTAAATAGAGAAACATATATTATGTGGTACACACCTAAATATAGATTTCTGTGGTATGTGGATTGTATCCGATGTTTCACACATTGCAATTTGCAATTATTTCAAATTGATTTGCAGAAGCGTTTTCTCAATTGACTTATCAATTTGATTGTTTTATAATTAATCTTTAACTACATCATGAATGATTGGTTTGGGTATATGATTTTAATAAAATTGCGATTGTTTCGTTTAAAATGAGGCTAGTCATAATTTGATATTTATTTGAGATTACATATTTGTATAAGGTTGTTTTATTAAATTGACAGTAAAGTTGAACATTACATAATATTTAATACAGGGCAGCAGGAAACACACAACCCAGTCTGCAGGGTTATACCTAATATATAGAAATGTGTAAAACTGTAGAAGGGTCGGATGTACGAATATTTAGTAGTAGTGGAATTAACCTGTACATTTCTATTTAACTAGGGGAATATACATCTGAATTCCAGGAAAATATTTGTGCAATCTGGCACTGTACACGAGAAATTAACATAAGGAATTTCGAATTGAAGTAGATTTATATAAGCACAGATCGTCAGGCGACCATGGGGCTCTTTGAAGTACTAAGGTGGACTCGAAGCTAGTGTAGGAAAAACGAGTAGAACTCGGCAAAGTTGTAGAAATTATCATACTATGGATTACAGCTCACTAGGGAATATACGGCAATGATAGAACTGATAAACTTGCTCAGGGCCGGCTTGCCATAAAGCACCGTCAGTCATCGGATAAAGCCTGTATCCGAAAACATAACTCTCACTGGGAAAGTATATCCGGTAGAGCACATGGCAAAATGTATATTGGACGGACATGCGATAATATGGGTGATGTACTGCAGAAAACAAGTAGGGATCAACTCACAGTCATAACAAGCTTCCTTACTGGACATGCGCCAATCCAGGAACTGCATTCAATGGGGCTTTTTCATGGAGATTTGCAGACTCTATAGCAGAGAACCTAAAATAGTCAGCGTGCATGACTGTGAAGCATTAGATCTCAGGCATCAAACATTTTTTGGAGACTATCAAGTCGCTACAAATAAAAATACCAACTTGTACAGATCCACTAGATCTGTACAAGTTGGTCCAAAATTCTAGAATGGGTATCATGAAAAAATTAAGGACAGCGGTACCTAAAATCAGTAAATTAAACAACGCGAAGAAAATTTTTAGTTTTAAAGGTTGGATAGTTTTCCTCTCTTATATTTTCGAGTGAAAGATAAAAAAGATAATTAAAAAAAGTGGTTTTCAGTGTTTTATTCAAGAAGTAATTTTGGTTTCAGGTAGGTCGCATCGCTGCTGATCATCCGCTGGTAGGTGGTCATAAAGGTCCTGTTCTGGACATCGCCTGGTGTCCTCATAATGATAATGTGATAGCTAGTGGGTCCGAAGATTGCGTTGTCAAAGTATGGCATATACCAGATCATGGCCTTATCAAAACATTAACAGAACCAGTCGTTGATTTAGTTTATCACCAACGTAGAGTCGGTCTCGTATTATGGCATCCAACAGCATTAAACGTACTTCTTACTGCTGGCAGTGACAATCATGTAGTTATTTGGAACGTTGGTAAGTTTAAATATATTCTTCTTTTGTTGCTTGGGAATTTAATTCGTTTTGTGGTACCTGACTGTACCATGCCAATGATCATAGTTGTCGAGGCATTAACTCAATAAAAAAAAAATCGTTTTGAGTTTGTGTTTTTTGCTACTTATTAAGGAAACGCGCTATCAATAAAATCTCTTTTTTCGTCATTAAGAAATAAAATGGGTAAATGTTTCTATGAGATTTTGTGGATGTAGACCGCGGCGGATTTTGGATACAAATTCTTGATACAAATTGGGATGTCTACTCGAGGAAGTAACCCAGGTAAAAAAAAATCAACATATTAGATGCTAAAAAAGGTTACAATATCTTGAAAGCCTTATTATATAAACACTTCAATAAATATATATAACTGTAGAATCTACTTGTTGGATAGGCATTAGTAATTTTCTATAATAACCTATTACTGCGTAAGTAAATCGAAGCAAGATGTAAATATTTCTACATTTCGTGAGTACAAAGGACAAAAACGATAATTAATAAATTGTTTTCGTTCATGGCCATCGAAGCAGACGGCCTCTTTGTACGTTTATCACTGAGGTGGATCTTGGAGTTCGTATTCAGCTATCCGTTACTAGAAGAAAACAAATAAGTTCGAAATCAATAACTCACCAATCTTCCGGGTTGAACCGCGTTGATTTTTATTGCTACAAGCTTTCGATATCCTCTCTGATGTCTTCTTCGGAGTTTCCGAGGTCTTCCGAGCCGCCAGACACTACTACACTGATCAATAATCACTTCACTACTGTAGTGAAAAATAACACTCTATACAGCTGTGAGGTATGGCCACTGAAAGAAAGAACATTTTTAACACTGAGAGCAACGGAAATGGTTTTTGGAAAAGAGCGACAGGACGATCTAGAAGAGAAATTGTTAACAACGAACGCATTAGAGAAATAAAGGGAATCAAACGAAGAATCATATATGACTTATCAACAAAACAACTTATCTGGTTCGAATATACATATACGAATATTGTTCTGAAGCTATTTTCTTGTGGCATTGTAAATTAATTACTAATAAACTGGGAATAAGCCACAATTAAAGATAAAAATACGTTTATTGACGTTTCAATTTCCACTTCGGAAATCGTTCTCAAAATACAAACAGTAAATTAAACAAATTTTGTTTTTTGTTACATAGTGAAAAATTCTTCTAATAATTTAATTTTATCTGACTGATTTATATTGACAATTCAGACATACATTATGCATTTTAAAGTAGACGACTTTAAAATGATATTGCCAATATTGTTGAGTTGCGCTCCTGGGACGACTTTACTTATAAGATAGTTCATTCGATTACATGAAATCAACTTTAACTTGAGAATATCCGTCAGAAAAAATCATAGCATGTAATTCGTCTTTAAAAAGACAAACACACGACATGATGACAGTAAAATTCTCCTGTTAGTGATTCCATAGTAAATTATGAGGGAAAACCAGGAAAAAACCTCATAATACTATCCCGACATTGTAAGTATTTGTTCGTGAATTTAGTTTACCTTCAACAAACATCAAAATTCTGATTTTATATGTTACGTTATTTAAAAAACATAAATGAAGTATCCTCTATATGTTACTGACTTACTAATGCTGGTATTTTCTTATTAATAACTTCCTCAATATTGGCAATATCATTTTAAAGTCGTCTACTTTAAAATGCATAATGTATGTCTGAATTGTCAATATAAATGAGTCAGATAAAATTAAATTATTAGAAGAATTTTTCACTATGTAACAAAAAACAAAATTTGTTTAATTTACTGTTTGTATTTTGAGAACGATTTCCGAAGTGGAAATTGAAACGTCAATAAACGTATTTTTATCTTTAATTGTGGCTTATTCCCAGTTTATTAGTAATTAATTTACATATACGAAGAATGGATGAACAGCAAATACCAAAGGAAATACAAAAAAATAGCAACCAGAAGGTAAAATAAAGCGGGGTAGACCGAAAACAAGTTGGAGAGAAGGAATAGACAAAGAGGTGAAAGAAATGAACATATAAGAGGACGTATAGAACGACTGGACGCAGTGGCGATTGGAAGTCGGAAAACGGTGTAAAACGTTATAAACTGACATGTTGTAGTAGTATTATGTACACATTTACACATCATACATAAACACAATACATTAACGTACAAAAAATCAAAAGCTCCATTGAGTACAACAATCTGCCCAATAAGCATTTGGTATGGTAAAAAGAATGCAGACACGTAGAGAGTTACTCCAGTGAATAACCTCTTTACAATTCTAAATATTAAAATTTTATTAGTTTGTATACACTTATTATGTTCAGTTGCACAAGTCAGACGGCAATTGCCGTTTTAATCTACGCACTTCAAAGACGTTCCACACATTTAGTTGTCGAGCAAACGCATTAGGATGCACTAGAACTCGTTCACAGTATTTAGCACTAAAACGTTGTATAGCTTCTTTCACGGATTCTAGGGGGATGTCGTATTGAATCACCTCATTAGATACGTAGTATGGCGCATTGACTATGGCACGCAGCATTTTGTTTTGGAATCTCTGTAAGATGTTTGTATTGGAGACGCTAGCAGTGCCCCATAACTGAATCCCATAAGTCCATATGGGCTTGAGAATGGACTTGTAGAGTAATATTTTGTTATCCAACGATAGTTTTGAATTGCGTCCAATGACCCAATACATATTTCTCAATTTAAGTCCAAGCTGTTTTTGTTTGTTAAATATGTTTTTTCCAAGTTAGACGGCGATCCAACTGCATGCCAAGATATTTAGCGTCCTCGGATTGAGGAATTAGACAATTATCAATATATACATGGGGGCATGTTTCTCTACGTAGCGTGAATGTAACATGTATTGATTAAGTTCCATTAGATTTGATGCGCCATACTTTCATCCATTGCTGAATTCTATTTGTTCAGGTATGATTGAAGATTTCTTGATGATGGATCTGTATGGGATGCCAGGATAGCAGTGGCATCTGCATATGTTGCAACAGTAGTTGTACTATATGTTGGAATGTCCGCTGTGTATAAAAGATATGGAATTGGACCGAGAACGCTGCCTTGTGGGATGCCTGAGCGAATAGATATAATATATCTTAGTGTGCTCGGTACCGTGCTTCACCAGGAAGTGTCTATTTTCTATGTAGGATTTTAAGAGCTGGAAGTGAGAATAGGGTAGGAGCTTCTTTAACTTTATTTGTAGTTCTATGTGCCATACCTTGTCAAAAGCCTGGGATATGTCAAGGAAAGCAGCAGAACAGTATCTTTTGGCGTTAAAATCCTTGTTTATTTGGTTGACTAGCCTATGCACTTGTTCTATGGTTCCGTGTTTGTCTCGGAAACCGAATTGATATAGACTTTCACTGTCAAAAGAAACAGTGCTTATGGTCAACCAATAGAAGGAGTAAAAACATACACCTGTCTTGGTACGAACGTCAATAAAAATTAGGACCATTCCCTAGAAATAAATGTAGGATAGAGAAAGCAAGATATGCATTTAAAAAATGGCTAAGCTATTCAAATGCCATGATTTATCAGTACCCATAAAAATTAGGTTACTACGATGTTATACCTTTCCTATATTGTTGTACGGAGTTGAGTCGTGGACTCTCACAGACGCTACCTGCAAGAAAATTGGGGCTTTCGAAATGTGGCTGTATCGTCGAATCCTGAAGATATCCTATACCGACCACGTTACTAACCAGGAAGTCTTATTAAAAATGTAAAAAAAGAAAGGAGTTGTTAACCACAATAAAAACAGCCAAAATCCAATACCTTGGTAACATCATGAGGAACAGCGAAAGATATTGGGTTGCTGCAAATAATTCTCCAAGGAAAAGTAGATAAATAGGCTAAACGGCACTGAAAAAATAGTCGAATTGTGACGAAAATGGACCAAACCGCTATAAACACTCATATGATTAAGATTTACTCTGATTTGAGCAACCAATTACAATTCTGGAAATTGTATAATACGTTAAACGAAATGAAATCCTGAGATGTTATTTATTATTTTCTAGACCATCTGTTTAGTCGTGTTGCAGACAATTCTTTTAGATGTAAGTAAACGGTTGAACGGTAATATTTTCGAAATTATTTCCTGTTAAACAGTACCAAAGATTGTTAAAAAAAGTTGAAAGTATATATTTTTTAAATAAATTATAATCGATCAAATTCTTGTAATGAAATTTTAAGCTAAAACAACTAAAAATGGCATACATAAATCGTATGTACGCTATATAATTTACGATTTTGTTAAAATAAATGTAGAACATTTTTTAACTTAAAACGGAAATCGTTTTGAAGATATTTAATGAAATTGACATTAGGGCGTCATTTTTCAATTCCGTTAGGAAACCGTTTCGGATAACTTAAAAAACATTAAAATCTACACAAAACCTCTTATTAGTTATCTTGACCTCATTAACCATTCAGTATTGTTATGTTTACTAAGAACATGAAAAAAATTGATTTAAGTTAAATTTTTAAAAATTTGTAAGATACAATTTTTACTGATTTTAATTTTAGGAACCGGGGAAGCCTTAGTTGAAATTGACTGCCATCCTGATATTGTTTACAGTGCCTGCTTTAATTGGGATGGATCAAAATTATTAACAACGTGTAAAGATAAGAAAATCAGAATAATTAATCCACGAACTGGAGAAGTAGAAGCTGAAGATCTGGCACATGAAGGTGAATAATTTTTGTCGTATATACTTATTAGATTAATTTTTATAATTACATTAGTATGAAAATGTTTAGAATGATGGTGTATATTTTATTTAACCAGTTTGTGTGCAATTTTAGTAAGAACTATAACTAAAATTATTTTTCATAATATTGATTGATTTAATTTTTTCCCTTTGATTCAGATTTATTTTGCATTCAGTCATACATTTATTAAAACAGAATTTTAGTTAAATATTAGAAATATCAAGGGTATTTACAATTTATCAGCACTGGCCTTCGCATGATATTTGGGGAAACTCTTCTATTATGTGTTAAATGATATGGACCATACAATAGTTGCATCCTAGAGACCATAGTTAACCCCATTCTGTAATAGAGGTGTACGTCGACCATATTGAGTCGTGATAAGGGTGGTAAGTTCAAGCTCGATCACTTAATGAAGGTATACTGTAGTTCTGTTGGGCTTCAGATTATCCCCTTGTTGGTTATGTTCGATAAGATTTTTATAGATATTTCTGCTACAAAATCAAAGAAAAGATATATTTACATGCTAAAGGAATTTAGATGCTAAAAAATATAGGAATAGTTAACAAAGATATTCGTAGCATTCAAAATCTTTACTGGAATCAAACTGCTATCGAAAAAATTGACATGAGACAATTACACCGATGAAATCTCCATACAACGAGGAGTCAGACAAGGTTGTAATTAGATACGCGGACGATACAGTAATTGTGTCAGAAAATATAGAAGGTCTACAAATTTAGCTTGATCGTATTCACGAAGTAGGAGAGGAAATAGCATTAAAATAAACTCAACCAAAACCAAATTTTTAGTTTAAGTCGTAACTCACATCCAGACGCAGAGCTTCAATTAAATGGAGTCCAAGTTGAGAAAGTTTACAAAATTACATATTTGGGAACTGTCACAACGGACCAACTAGATCCAGACATAGAAATAAAACGAAGATCAGCAATAACTAAAACTACTTTTATGAAAAAAGAAGACATTGCTTTGCAATAATGATCTCAGTTTAGAACTAAGACAAAGAATGGTTAGGTGCTGTGTTTATCATCTACTTTTGTATGCAGCAGAAGTGTGAACACTAAAAGTAAAAAATATGAACAGAATTGAAGCATTGTCGCATTGTCTCGATGATCTTTCTTTGTGGTTGGATGTTCTCTCGTTTGTGTTTTGTTGTACTTTTTTAGGTTTTTCGCCTCTTCAGGACGTGGTTTGTTTTTCTTTGGTGAGTTGACTTTTTCGTTGCGTGGGTTCTACCGGTGGATCGCTTCGTGTGTGTGTGTGTTGAGGTGAAAGGATTGTTGAGCTAAAACGGTCCTTTTCAGAATTTTATTATTAAAAATATGTTTAAATTGACTGAATTTACTATGTACACAATTTAATTTAATTAGTAAATTTATATTGTGACCCGCATGAGGGCAGCTGTGGCTGTATCGTCTGCAATAGACAGGTATCATTGTGCAATGGGATCGGGAAACCACAGAAAATCGATCCCTCCCTGTCTAGGCAAGTTCGAAGTGAGCATTTATTGGTTGTTACGGCGGTAAAAGAGAGGAGTTGCCTCCAGGATGTCAATGTATTCAGCAGGGAGTTCGCTGCTCACAAGGGCCAGTTATTTAGTGGGTAGGAAAGGGAATTTGGGTTTAGGTTAGTTTTCAAGATTTTTGGGCTCTGAAGTTTTGGCTACGGATGCTTTTGATTGTGTAACTCCTACTCAGAGAGGAGAGCCTCTCATTGATGGGCTGGATGTTCGACAGTTGATTCGTAGTAGATTCGACGTAGTCGCGTCGTTTGTTACGTATTGAAGCATCGGAGAAGTGGATTCATAGACGGATGCTGAAGATACCTTGGACAGCAAGAAAATCTAATTAGGAAGTATAAGGATGGTCAACAAAGATAGATAATTGCTAAAGACTGTTAAACACTGTCGTATATGGGACGTATAGTGAGGAGAAATCGATGTAGAATTCTGCAACTGGTTCTTAAAGGCAAAATAGAAGGCCGTAGATATGTAGAACGAAAACAGGTTTCATGATTAAAAAACATTCGTGAACAGAATTAGATATCAAATGCATGACAATTATTCTATTTGGCAGAAGATCGAGAAGCTTTCGCAATGGTGATTGCCAACGTCGGATAATTCTGATGACACGTGAAGCCGTTACTGGTTGCTTCTTCAATATAATTGGGTATTGGTATTTCTCTTTTGTTCGGCATCTTTCTGTATTCATTTGTCGGCATTTTCACTCGGCGAAGGTGTGGTGGTGAAATATGGCTTTGCATTGAAAGCTATTATGTTAGAGTAGATTTATTTACTCCAGCAGTCATTCTCATCGTAGTCAAACTTTCTACTTTTGATTTATGCCAATCTCTGAAAATGTATTACTTGGTGAATAGTCTTCTCCTTTGACATTCCTCAGAAGTTTCTGGTACATACAACCTTCAGATAGTCTGATATAATCTAGTGATTTTATTTGGAAGTCTTACCTGTATACTTTTTGGTTTTATTTTGGCCTTATTGAAGAATTAGGATCATCTACCGAGCAATTGATTCTTTGGTTCATAGTGGTATTGCACAGAGTTATAGATTATTTTAGATTTAGTGTAGTTGGAGAATATACATATTTTGCGATTCCTTCAGTTGATTTTTACTATTCCTTACGTTTTGGGGTAGGTTATATTAAAATTATGCAAGGATATGCACCAACAACTACTCACAGTGATGAAAAAAATGGATAACTTTTATGAAATCATATATAGAGCTTTGGAAAAAAATAACACCTACCTCACAATTTTAATGGGCGAATTTAACGCCAAACTTGGATGTAAAGAAGATGACGCAGAAGTCTCTATGGGCTCATATGCTACTAAATATTTTAATTCATCATGGTCTCTATGTCATAAATTCATTTTTCAAAAAGAACTAACAACGTAAGTGGACGTGGGCTAGTCCAGGTAGTACAACGAAAAACGAAATTGATTTCATAATCACAAATACAAAAAATATCTCCCAATAATACCTCAGTAATTAACAAAGTCACTGTTGGCAGTGATCATCGGCTGGCTAGATCAAAAATATTTATCAACATTAGAGTAGAGAGGAAAAAAATGATGACAGAGAAAATTATAATAAATGGACACATCGATAAAAGATCAAGTGTCTTATCAGACCCTCATAACATTAGAACTTAAAGAAGTAGAGCATCTAAATGAAAACGAACATTTTCCTTTATGAGAATGAACAAGGGAAAAGTGAAAAATAAGGAGGATAACATAAATTTACTCAAGCTACGAAAGTTCTTCGTAAATAAAAGAAGAGGAAAAGAAGAAAATTGGAATATAAATATACAGAAAATTTTGTGCTACTTAGACAGTTAAATAAACACAAACATAAAGAGTCAAAATCAATTCGAAAATATATCAGACATTACAACACATATAGCTCAAGCAACTGGTAAAAGTAGAAGTTTAAAAGTCCTAAAAAGAAGTTCATAAGTAACGAGGGAGACATTAAAACAAATAAGAAAGATATTTTAAAAATTAGTCAAGATTTTTACTCCGAATTGTATAAACGAGAAAAACTTCCAGATCCTGATCAGAGCCAAATACCAAATGATCAAAATTTAGGCGCAGAAGACATCTCACATATCACAACAGTGGAAATAAAAAGAGCTCTCTCGGAGATAAAAAACAATAAATCGCCTAAAGAAGATGTAGTCATTGAACAAATCACAGAAGGAGGGGAAACATTGATAAATCTTTTGAGAAAAATTGTTAGTGCTTGTTTGACAAGAGGAGTAACCCCCTCTCAATGGCATAATTCAATAATAACCATAATGCACAAAAAATGGGATATGGCAGATCTAAAGAACTACAGACCTATTAGTTTGCAACCCCATACATAGAAATTATTTATGAAGATAATATTATACCAACGGCTTGTGAACAAACTAGATAATTACCAACCTTGCGAACAGGCGGGGTTCCGTTCCAGATGTGAAACAAATGATCATATACAAGTTATGAAAACGCTTATAATAAAGTGTAAAGAATACAACAAGCTTATCTTCTTATATTCGTAGACTACGAAAATGAATTTGATACTATAGATTAGATAATCGTAAAATGCGTCGAGAAGACACCAACAAGTTCGGATAGAACGTGGAATTAGACAGGATGATACTATATCTCAGTTCAGAGAATCTGAACCACCTAAGATTTGTCAATTGACATCGTCTTAATATCTGATAGCGTTGATAAAGCTACAAAAATCCTGAAAACATTCTATAAAGCACCAAAAACAATTGGTCTTAAAATTAACACCTCAATGACGAAATTTATGACTAACCTAGTAGTAAGCGAAACAATTTAAATTGAAGCTAATAGCGTCGACCAAGTAACAGCTTACAAATATCTAGGACATTGAGATAATCAGATAACTGAAACACTAAGAAGGATATGTCTCATATGGTATTCCTTTGACACAATAAACAACATTTTTTAGTCCAATATTCCAGTATATTTGACAAAGGTTTTTAACCAGTGGTTTCTATCCGTTCTCACATATGGGGCAATAAACTAACTCTGACTAAAATAACAATAAACAAAATAAAGAGATACACAACACGCGATGCGAAGATCAATGTTGGGCATTACCATCAGAGATAAAGTACCAAACCTAGAAATAAGGAGTTACGGATGCAGTTTAAAGAGTAGCCATCGCCAAATGGAGTTAGACCGAATAAATTGTCAGGAGCGACCTTGTCTTGCGACCAAGGCAAGAGGGAGATCGAGTCAGAGGACGCCCACCGACTAGATGGACGGATGATATAAGAGCATCACTACGAATTGGATTGGGCGAAGGACGATGGGAAAAGTTTACGAGAAGTCTACGTTCAACAGTGGACAAATATAAGCTAGTTTGATGATGATGAGGATGATATGCTTTGGGACTAAAAACAAATACAATACTTTCACGTCACTTACTCGTCTCGATTTGACAATCTACATATTATATACTTACTAGACCAATAAACTCATCTTAACACCAATCAGTAATATCGCTACTGTAGGCCTTATTGAAGTTTATAAGTCTCAGGTAATTTATGCTTTTTATAATAAACAGTCCTCACAATTTTACAACAATGTAGTAATTAAAAAGATCTTTTAGTATTTTTTTATTTTACTCACTAATAATTACAAAAAACAATTGTTCACGCCTAACAAAATTTGCTATCTTCTTATTGCTTTACCAATTTATCCATCGATACCAAAAACTCAACTTTTTTTAGTTTATGCCTGATCCTACAAATTCATTTATTACTTAATCGAGTAAATACATGATACATTATATAAAAGTATTTTTATTTTAGCAATATCTGAAATATCTGTTTCATAGTAAAATTAGGGATGAATGAATTTATTATATTTTTAATATTAGGAGAGATTATTTTAAAACTATACAAATTTTTCTTTTTATTAATAATTTCGTATACCTATTATTGATTATATCATTCAACTAAATAATTAATTATTTTTGTGCAGGTTCTAAAGCGACAAGAGCAATATTTTTAAGGCACGGTCTAGTGTTCACGACAGGTTTCTCGAAGATGTCTGAAAGACAATATAGTCTACGTACACCGGATTGTTTGGGGGAACCAATTGTAATGGTAGAATTAGATACATCAAATGGTGTTATGTTTCCACTGTACGACCCAGATGCAAATTTAGTTTTCCTTTGCGGTAAAGGCGATTCTGTGATTAGGTTTGTATTACAATTGAAGTAGCTTATTTTTGTTTTTATTTAATTATTTCTAGGTATTTTGAAATAACGGCAGAACCACCATTCGTTCATTATATTAATACCTTCCAAACACCCGATCCACAAAGAGGAATTGGGATGATGCCAAAGAGAGGATGTGATGTAACGTCCTGTGAAATTAGTCGTTTTTATAGACTCAACAACTCCGGTTTATGCCAAGTAAGTATTGAAATTAAGAAATTGTCTAACTGTTGTCTGTCAAATTCTCGTTATAGTGCAAGTAGTACGTAACTTAGAAGAGAATGGATACTATAAATATGACCCAAAGTCTTTAATCTCAAAATAGTTTACATTTAACTTGATCCTATTATTTTTGTGTAATTCTTTCTGTTTTATAGATCCTTATATGCATATTTTAAAATATCCATATTATTACCCCAAAAGCGATTTAATCTTCATAAATTACAGTTCCCGGTTTAATCTTGTGCAGTGACCTAATATTGCGGTTTTTACGTTTATAAATATATAGTTATTAAAAGAAGTACTAACGATAAATATTTATAATTTTAAATATGTAAAATGGTATACATTTTTGACAAAAAAAAATAAATATTGATTAAAAAAAGGGCTGTGTTTTTTGAAACCCTTTCCAAGAGGATTAATACAGTTTGTATGTTTTTGAACTAGTTTTCTAATAATTTTTCTATTAAAAAAGGTAACTCCAAAACTTATATTTTAAACATATCAACTGCTTCTGCAGGCACAGAGAAACGTTGAATCCTGCAATTTATTTTTGATTACAGCATATTTTTAATCAAATAAGTCATTGCAAGGAATTCCTCGCCAGTTTGCTGTCTTATAGCTTTGCAGTTTTACTTTTTATAGTGGAGAACATTCTTCATACGTGCAGACACTTACTTTATTATCACAGGCGTGATAATACACTAGCAACACCAGCAAAATATGACAAGCGAAATTTCGAGTTATGGGAATGTATCAAAAGCTTTCCTGAAGACACTATGTTGAGAGTTAATAGTAGACTTAACTCTTAACCAGAGTGTGCCAAATACTCTGAATACGAAGAAAGATAAAGGGTATTTCAAATCCAGTGGCGAGCACTTCCACGAAATAGTTTATCGCGCAGACAATAGAATATCTCTGATAAGAGCCATGCAGAGCGTTCCAATATTAAACAATTTAAGAGTATTGTTTTATATTTGAAACCGCACTAATTACAAAATTATTACTCGCTTAAATAATAACTGGAGTGGGATTTTACATAGATTGTTTTATCGATACCAAACTTTTTAGTCAAATCAGCAACTAAAAATGTTCAGTACTGACAATATTAAAATATGAATATTTGTGATCGTTTTTTTCAAACTTTTCTACGGCAAGTGGGCTTAAAATTTTAACGAAGGTTATAATATAGGTTATTCCACGAATATACGACTGTTTTGGATTATTACGACAACGAATATTTTACTGTGCAAGTAGAAGTATGAAAGTAAATTGGTCTAATTATTATTCTAATAAAAAGGATCTACTGTTAGGATGACATCTAAACTAAAATTATTTCAGTTAATAGATGTTCAGATAGACGCAAAATTTATTGTGAAATTTAATCCGAAAATAACACAAAATTTTTACGCAAACGTTCCTACAAATAAATACACTGACGTCTATGAGCCAAATGTATTCATCAGACATTTGGGTTGGATTTCCGTGAAATGTAAACACCAAAGAGGCGTGCCGGGTTTCTTTGATATTACACTATTTTATTACTTTATTATGTACTACAACTGTAATAAAAAGAAATATACTATTTTTAATATAATTGAAAAGAAATTATCAGAACGATGGCTCAGAAACCAAAAAAAAGAATCTAATATTTCACTTTGTTAGTTTTAAATATTTGTTTGCTTTGAGTGGAGTGTAGGAGATTAGGGGAATAAGAGAATAAGTAAGTTTTTTTGTTTTTTAATACTAATTGAATATTCGACTAAATAAATTACCTTTTTTTATCACTTAAGTATTGTTACACTTCGTTTAAATCACTTAATCCAAAAACCAACTTGTTTACAATACTAAACTCACTGATAGTATTCATATCATGACTTCATATTTAAATCTAAGGTTTATATCTGTCATAACAGTATTGTAAAAATGGGGAGAATTTACTATTGTACCGTTCAGCACATTGGATCATTTAAATCGACACCTTAAACTGAATTTAAATCAGTCGTACATTCATGGAATGGAGCATACGTACCATCTTTAATTGATACTCTATGAAAGTTTTACCTTAAAACCGTAATTATAAAGTCATTACGATTTTTTTAATTTAGGGTCGGTTACCGTTAAACCGTAATAAAAGCCATTATTAATGACTCTGACGTTTATTAATTGAATGAAATGACATTTGTGCTCTACGCAAGTATTTGGACAAAATTAAATATTATATAAGCGAAGGTATTCAATTATATATGTTGATGAAACCTATGTACATGCATTACACGCTACGCCAAATAGCTGAACAGGTGACAGTGGCAAAAGATTGTTCAAAAACATTTTAAACGGAAGTAGGTTGGTTATCTTACATGGTGGTGGAGAGATGAGTTTTATATAGAATTCACTTTTGATTTTTTAAATCGGGCGCCAAGAAGTAGATTATTATGATGATATGAATTCAGAAAATTACAAAAATGGCTGAAAGAACAGTTAATCCCCAATTTGCCTGTAGGATCTGTTGTTGTTGCTGATAATGCGTCATATTATAATGTACAAATTAATAAAGCATCCACCAGTAATTCTAAAACACAACTCTGAAATGTTGGTTGACAGAAAAATGTTAAAACCGCCAATTGTAAGAAATCTTCAAAACACACAAACAAGATCATATTCAATATAAATTTGACAAAGCACTGCACGAATGTGGACATGTTTCTTTAAAACCTCTGCCATATCATCCAGATTTAAACGCAATTAAAAAATAAAGTTGCAAAACAAAATGTTTATTTAAGTTTATTAAGTTGCTTGCCATGAGTTCGCTCTGAAGAAGCCAAGAGGCTGAAATATGCATATCAGCGAATGTTGCTACGCTGTAACGAAATCAAACCTAAACCGTCTATTTTATTTTTATTATTTTTCTCGAGTATAGATTATTAGGAAATAGTTTTCACGAAGGCATTTCTGTCTAGACAGATTGGCATGACGTAGATACAATTATAAATCCCGTTGTCAGTGCATTTGTCGTCTGCTTGCTTTGCAACGTTTAGAAAGCACAGATTTAGGTTGAATACTGAATTTTATTTCCGATTTATATTCTCATTATCTCTACAACTGTGTATCGTCATTTTCATCGAATTTTGTCAACGACACAGTATCTATATTAAATTTGGACATAAAAATTTCTTCCCCCTTTGATACCATCAGAAGATTCCGAAAAAATGGCTTGGTTTAATTTGAATCACACTGATAATATAGATTAACCAGCACAAATTAGGTCATAATAAATTGTTTTATTTTTGCTTTTAGGTAATAACCATGACAGTGCCTAGAAAATCAGAGCTTTTCCAAGAAGACTTATACCCGGATACTATAGGAGATCAAGCGGCACAAACCGCAGACGAATGGATCGGTGGTCAAGACGCGGAGCCAATTTTAATATCATTAAAAGACGGATACAAACCCCCAGAATCAAAATCTTCTCTATCCGTATCTAAACGAAGTAATTTGTTGGACAAAATTCCACCTAAAGGCGGAAAGGCTAGTAGTCAGGCTGCAAATGCGGCGGTAAGTACATCAAGAACTTTTTATACTCATTAAATGATCTAGTGGTTATGTATAATGTATAATACTCTTCATTATTCTCCCGCCAAATATTATTCTGTGCCAATCTTATCTTCTACACCTTAACCTTCGGTTTTTTGTAATTCTTGTAGATTTTTTCGTAATTCTTGTTTTATCTTCTCATTTGTTACTTCTAGAGACAATTCTTCATTTTTTTGTCGAGTATCTTAGGTATGCTTTAGTAATATATATTAATTCACACTGCTACCTAATGCGATTTTTGTGTGCCCCTCTTGTTGCTTTGTTGAGTTTTTAGTTATTAATACCTATTTCTATTTTCCTTTCAGAACAATTAGAATATGCTCTATCTTTAGGTTAATCCGACGTGTATAATAATAAATAAATAATAGTTAATAAATAAATATACCGAAACAACAGGGGATATCGAAAAGGGAAATATCATTGGATAAAAAGCAGACTATACACATAGCCAAACTTATAGGGAATCACCATATATTTCAAACCAGTATTTATTAAAAAAAAAACATGTTATTGTTTCGAAGACTGAAGTTTTTTATTGAAAATAAACAAACGTATGAAACAATCAAATGACACAGCTCGGTACGATATATACTTCATCTAATTTACTTACCGTTGGACGTCATCTGCGTCATAGTCCGTAAGGTCACATGATACCAACACGAAATATTTAGGCGGTATGTGTGTTCTTTTTAGAATCAATTTGCCGAGTACACTGGCATTACAGCCACTAGACATATTTTATTATATACGCGTAGAAATAATATTTAAGATTTCTATTAATGTTAACTTAAAGAAATACACAATAATATGTGTCATTTAATTTGTATAAATGCATTATAAAGCGTTTTTATGAAGAACATTTGTTTGGAACACACTGTAACTGTAATCGAACGAAGGTGATATTTTGGCATAAATTGGTAACACTTATTTGACAGTTACGTGTTGACACTTTTTGTATTTTATTATTTTGAATTTTAAAGTGAATACCTCTTGATTTATATTTTTACCTATTTAATAAAATCTGTTCTTTTTAGAACAAAATTAGTGTGTTTTATTTCAAAAATGTCACGTAAGAATTTAAATAGTCGTTGTAAAGAGATGGTAATACTTTTGCAATAATTACGTGATCTATTTGATTTAAAATGGAGTCAGGATTTTTTTATACTTTGGCAACTATGTCAACTTCGATCTCTGTCAATGATAATGACGTGCAACTGTAAGTAAATTGATGAATAGGTTATTTGCTTTAGTTGTAAATTGAACGAAAATAAATAAACTAAATTTTGAGTTCAAAAACAAAAATGTGCCTTATGTGGGGTTAACGGATGTTTAAAGAAAGATTATTTTTTCTCAACAATTTCTCACCCGCAGCTAAAAAGCTAACTTTTGGAAGCTGCAAGTATGTGTTTCAGTTGAAACGATAAGAAAAAGACTTCGTGTCCAAGGACTATACAGCAGTAGACAGTTACGGGTTCCCAAGTTATTCAGACAGTACAAGATTGATCGTCTCAGTTGGTGTCTTTTACACCAAAACTGGGACATTGGAAATTGGCAAAATTTGCTATTTTCAGAGGAAACCAGGATTTGTGTAAAATCAGATATCTGACGAATTCGTGTACTTAGAGGGTGAGGAAGATCAACAAGAATGAACATTGCCAGATCTGTCCACAAGTATAAAGGAGGAAGTGTCAGGTTCTAGGGAGGCATTAGGATTGGTAAAAAAACTCCTTTAATTTCCATCCAACCAACTTTAACAGCTATTAGCTTATGTTGATTTGATTCTAGAACCTGTAGTTAGGTTCTGGAGAGGTGCAATGGGAGAACATTTCATTTTCATGCGTGTTAATGCCCCTCCACATACCGCAGAGTCATTACAGACTTCCTTGAAGCAGAAGGTATCACTGTTCTGGAGTGGCCTGCTTGCTTACCCGAGCTTAACACTATAGAGCATTTGTGGGATATGCTTAAAAGAATAATTAGAGCTGGGCAGTATAATCCACAAAACACTGCATAGCTAGTATGCACTTGACGAATTGAACCTTGCCTAAGGGCTAGGGGTGGTAATACTGACTGCGTACAGTCTGACAGTACTGTTGTATTGTTTTAAAATAAATATTGTTTTACTTCGTATGTTGGTTTTTTTTTTAATTCGCTTGAAATAATAAGAAATATCAGATGATTCCGTAAGTTTGGTTGTGTGTACTTAGAGCAATGGAAGAGTTAATATGCATTAGAAATCAAAAAGAAAAGCAATTATCTAAGGCAGTTAACTACTATACGTATATGTTAGTATACATAGAATGCTTTTATTGGACACCCTCTTTTTAATATAGTGAAAGTACTTTTAACCAAGGATTCTTAATCATTATTTTAATTGACCTTGACCTACAGTTCAATTTTATATACTTGAATTTTTCGATTTTCTTGATTTTAGGAGAATAAAACTCTTCAAGAGTTTGCGGATGAAATTAGAAAACTGAAGGCTATGATAGTAAAGCACGAGAATAGGATTCGGGCCCTTGAAGCGGAAGTAGCGCTGAAAAAAGCTGTCACTGCTGACGATGACGACGGCCCAGGAGGCGGTGATGGACTGAACGCAGCGCCAGCTGAAATGGCTTCGGACGAAGTGTGATGTGCCACATTGTATCAACGCGCACAACGACTACTGCTCAACTAATACTTATAAAGGTTTGTATCAACTCCTAATTTAAATTTGTATTCACTTTTAAGTTAATAAGGTTTCTGCGTTCTTCTTTTAATGAGTGAAATAATAAAACACGAGTTTAATATTGTATAAACATTTTTTAATGAAAATTCAAGGACATGGGAATAGATTGGTCCGCTCTCCACACTTAGAGCTGTTAATTTGCTTCATTTTATTTTCCAGTTTTTGTGTTTTTTTTTGGAAGCTAGTTGTGATTTGTAATAGTCTCTTGTTCATATTTATGTTAGATTCGACATGTTTTTTTCATACATCAGATACACTAAAAAGTTAACTATGAACGAACAATATATGGGTGATTTTCATTGTTATTTTATGTGTTTGGGATCAATCATCCAAATAGTATATGAGGCGTACACTAAAAGTTTTGCATAACCAACGTAAGGAAACATACTTTGGGGTAAAAATTAGCTTTATCGTTTTTTAAAGTATTCGCCTTAAGATCAATATACTTTTGCATTCGAACAAATCAATTGTCGAAGCATTTATGGTAGTCCGAAATAGGCATCACAGCATCTCATCCGAAAATAAATGTTTTTTGCCTTCAAATACTTTAACGTTACACGAACTTAGCGAGAGTTGGCATTATTTTGATGCAAGAAGATGCTGCGATTTGGGTCGTTTTTGTGGAGGTCATCAATCATCATCATCATGGATTTTCAGTCTGTCGATATTGTTTACCATAAGAAACATAAATACAAGAACTTATTAATTTATGGAATACGGATTTACGGGATTTTAATAATGGAATGAGGCAGTAACGATTCTGCTACATAAAAAGGAGATAAAATTGACCTAGAAAATTATCGACCCATTAGCCTGTTAATCCATACGTACAAACCACTTCTAAATATATATAGTATAGCTTTATAAAATATATATAATTAAAAGAACCTTTCGGGCTAAATCACAACAGAAAGTTTTCCGACTAATAAAAAGTGCATCATCACTGCATTTACCAGGTGTCATGAGTCAAGCTACTAAATATTTGGGTAAAAACTCTTAAAATGGTACAAAATTTGTTGTTTATTACATTTTTGTTAACAATTTGGTGTGATGTTAGTTTTTAAAAGATACCCTGCATGGCAACGTAAGACTCCTATTTTGGGGGTTACTGACCCTGAGACGATCTCCCTGTATGTACTCTAGATGGCAACTCTAGAGTTTGATTTCATTATATTGTGTGATTTATAATGTGGGACCGCAGTCAGGCCTCGACACTGTTGCCAGTGTTCCTTAATTTACTAATTACATCTTTTTACCTATCGCCTAATTGAAAAATTAACGCACTGTTTGTGAGTATCCGATATTAGTTTTTGTACCTTTTTTTGGAAGAGTATCACAGGCATTTTAGGCGTAAAGTTAATTTTTGTTAACTTAAATTATTAAATTATTTAATTTGTTAACTTAAATTATTGAATTACTTTAATTTTGATTACTTTCACTTTTTATTGTTGATCTAATTTTCTAATTATATAGATGATTTGGAATGCCGACGGATATTGTTTATAATTTTAAATTTGTAATATTCTAAATATTAAAGAATTATTAACGTATAATTAAAGTATAATTAAATAAATAAAATATAATAACACAGTTTTTCTTTTCAGGTGTTGCACACGTTTTGGTTTTGCAATTGCTCCGCTTTTTTATACATAATATAATTTAAGTCCCATCATTTTATTTATTTTTTTATCATTCAAATATATTTTATTAACTCCCATATCATCTACTTCGCCAAGTGCTCTTATATAACTATTTGAAAGTTGTTTTAATTAGTTCGAAATCAAATGAACTTTTGTAAATCTTTTTTAAAGATTGTCTTAAGCCAAAAAGATAAAAGAAATGTTATTAATTCACCACTTGTTACGATCTCTTAACTGGATGTCATGTGGTTCTTGTTATAAATATTTTTTAAATATAATCTATGTAGTTTAAGAATCATGTCCACTTTATTTCGCTAAAATCTAAAAATGATAACTGAAGTTAATTCTTTCAACATTAAAAAAAAAACGCGCCTTCTAAATGACAGCAATGTAATATACTATTACGTTACTATTGTGTGTATTTTTAGTATTCATACTTTGGTTTTAAAATGTGACTTTAATGTACCCAGAGAAGAAGTACCAGCTCATGTAGACATAAGTGAACATGTACCAAAAGATGAATCATTTTCGTCAATATCTTTATAATGGCTTATGGTTGATATTGCAGTTCTAGATTTTGAAATTTTGAAAATAAAGTCACGATAGCGAATATGGTAGCCAACATGATATCCAACGATCGATAACGGTCACGGAACTAGAAGATTTTGAAAACGGTATCGGTGGAAGAAAAAGCAAAGTTTGTAGTATCACAATTATTTTGTATCATTTAGATCTTACTAATTGTTGTACCGCTGCAATATTACGTGTCCAAACAGTATCTTCTACAGATTCTAATGGGATCCAGATTGTTTTTTTTGCCCAACGTTTTTCTGCTTGTTAAGCCATAAGTCATTGAGGTTGCAGGCACTAGGACTGTTTTTGAAGGTCAGTATATGCTCCACGTCATATATGGCGCCACATTAGCATTTATTATCTTCTTCTTTTCTAAGGCCCCACTTTATTTGATTGATTTTCACTGCTGCTATCCCGGTTCTTCATCGGTAGTGTATTCCATACTGGCCACTGTAGTTGACATCACTGGGCATCTCTTGAAAGACTGGGTAGTTTGCAGATGGACCGTCCATAGTCACATCCAGAAATCTGCTACGAGATTTTAATCTTTTGGCTTTGCATTCGGCTCCCTAAAGAGGGTGGCGTTTATCAATGATCTGCTTGGTCCGTTCCATAAATTCGTAAGCTTTTCTGCAGCTTTTGGGGCTAGCAAAATCAAAGGCTTTTTTGGAGTTGGCTGTTGCTAGTATGCATGTTTTATTTAGAATGACATTCACTTTCCTGGCGTGGATCGGTGGTTTTTAAACCGGTCGGGCTGACCCGCACCTGCTTTTGGTGAGTTTTTGAGGATTTTCTAGCAGGCACTTTATGTCGTCTTTTCTCGCATTGGTGCCTATATGTCAGCGACTTATCTAGCATGACACCCAAGTAAATTGGTTTCTCCGAGTATTAGAGACTGACAGCATCCCATTGGACCTGAAGCCTTTTTTGCCGTGGAGATGGGTTACTTGCGTCGTAGATGTGTTCGTTTTAAGTGAATTTTTTTTGGTAGTATTTCCGCATGGTCCCGACGGCCTGCTTTTTGCTTTACACTTATACTCAAAAGTTCTTCCATGTGCGGTTATAGCCAGGTTGTCGGCATAAAGAAAGTGTTCCGTATACTCTAGTGTTGGTTGGTCGTTCGTGTATATATTGAAGGAAATGTCTGAATCACATCAGACGAATTTTATAGTGGCCCGATCAATCTATTACCATTTATTGGGGTATTTGAAGGAGAAGGAACAATCTTGAAATTCGTCAGGTCAACATTTTTGGGTAATTGTCATTATCAGTATTATCGATTTACCATTTCAGGAGGTGAAATAGATACTATAATCAAATTTAAGATTGTAAATTGTAGATTACAAAACTATTAGTTTTTTCAGAAATATGAGTTTTTGCAAAAAACTGCTAATTTTATCTATTCTTCTGAGTCATTGAATTCCCCGCTTTCTGTTTGCTTACTTTGCCACCATATGAAATTTTTCTCTTTAACGCATAGATTAATATAGCATCCAAAATTTCACAAGGTTGATAGTTTTTTTTTAAATTTCATGAAATATATATGTACCAAGAGTGTAAAGCTTAGTTAGATGAACCGTAGCTCGGCGGCTAAGATACTGACATATCAAGCCAGAATGCACAAGTTCAATTCTCGGCACCGACAATGAAATTTTTAATTTCTCTAAAAATTATATGAGACGTCACCCTATTTCGGAGAACACGTAAACCCATCGCTCCCCCTGGGCTAGTGTCCATCGGCACTAGGTATCTTAAACAGGATTAAAGATGCAATTGGCTTTGGAACCTGTTTGAAAGAATCTCTCAAAATGTCATACGATAATATTTTTGATTTATATTAGTCATTTCCTGATAAATCCATTGAATGTCATCCAAGTTTATGTTATTTGTTGTTATTATTAATTCATGTGTTGGGATGTACAAAGGGAACATTGTAACGACAAAAATAATAAGAGTTTTTTTTGTCAATGTAAATAATAATGATTTAAGTTTTTGGATCTCTAAAACTATTTATTTATAAAATTAAATATGTTAGATAAAAATTAGAACAATTTCTATTATTGCATGAATAAAGTGTATATCAAAATTATTATTTCTTGTAAAGATCAATGTATTATGACATACCTCTCCCAAAGTAGTTACTAGTATAAGTTGTCATACACGCCACAAGATTCTTACAACTATTCATTAATTTTTGTTTTTAAGTAATATTATAAATAATAATTTCTTATTCGCAGATTGCTTCTATTACCTAAAACTTTGTGGTATTAATAAAAATATAAGTGCGAACTCTGAAAAGAGTAGTCAAATGTTCTGTCAGTGGCGCTACATACATTAAAGAACCATTGGCGTATTGTGTATTTAATGCTGTTAATGTAAATGATTGTTTTTTGAGTACCAAACTTGAATAAATTTTATTTTATTGAGAATATAAAGTCAAAAAAGTATAAAATTATCAAATCGAATCACAATCAGTGTGATGACTTACATATTTCATTGACTTGAGTGTAAGACGGTTATATAACACTGTATCTGTCTTCATTACTGTATCATCAAAACTATTATGAAACTGATTACAAGGCAAAGAATTAACTTAGATATCGATTGAGCAAAATAATTCGTATGTGTGGACAAATATTTGTTGTTAAGTATTATCAGTTTATTTTAATAATGCAGTATTTATTGTATGTT